TGTTGGTGGCTTTAAACCCGAAGCGGAGGGAACGCTCGAACGAGCGTTTGTCTGGGGTGAGGAGAACCAGCCCCGCGCCAACACCCCTCGAGTTAGCCGAGCCGTCCACGTGTAGGGTCCAGGCTTCGGGGGTTTGCTCGAGATCTCTGTCCTCCATCTGAGTTAACTCCGCGATGAAGTCGGCTACCGCCTGGGGAGACAGAGGCGAGCCGGGGGAGGCTGGCTAGGTGCTGCTTTATTTGTTTGAAAGCCTCCTCGCATTCCGGTGTCCATTGGAAGTTCTTCGGGTTTTTGAGCGCCTTGAAGAATGGGAGGCAGCGATCGCCCGATCGAGCGAGGAAGCAAGACAGGGCAACAAGCCTCCCGTTGAGTCGTTGTAGGTCTTTGATCATCCCGGGGGACTGCATACTGACTATTGCTTGAATCTTCTCCGGGTTGGCGTCAATTCCTCTCTCATGCACAATGAACCCAAGGAATTTCTCGGAGGTGACGCCGAAAGCGCATTTCGTGGGGTTGAGCCGCATGCCAAACTTGCGCAGCGTGGCGAACGCCTCGGCCAGGTCGGCAAGGTGCGTTCCGGCCTCTCGGCTTTTCACGATCATGTCGTCCACGTAGATTCCATGTTCCTCCCGATCTGATGGGCGAACATCTTGTTCACCGTTCTTTGTTATGTGGCCCCAGCATTTTTTAGCCCGAACGGCATGACCTTGTAGAAGTATACCCCTTGATCGGTGAGGAAGGTCGTATATTCCCTATCTTCGGGCGCCATCCTAATCTGGTTATATCCTGAATGGGCGTCCATGAAAGAGAGACGTGCGTGTCCGACCGTCGCGTCGACCATCTGGTCGATCTTCGGGAGGGGGTAGCAATCTTTAGGGCATGCATTGTTGAGACTGGTGTAGTCAACGCATATCCTCCAGCTTCCATTGTGTTTTTTCACCAGGACTACATTGGACAGCCATTAAGGATATTTGGATTCTTTTATGAAGCCTGCTACTAAGAGCCGGTCCACCTCTTCTTGTGCGGCGCGTTGTCGGTCAAGGGCCTGGCGCCGGGGCTTTTGCTTCACCGGGCGAGCGTCAGGTGGGATGTTGAGATGATGCTCCGCGACCTCTGGGTCGACACCCGTCATGTCCGATGGGGACCAGGCGAAGACGTCGGCATTTTCCCGCAGGAGACCAACGAGCTGATCTCGTTCCCGCTCGGGCAGCTCCGATCCGATCCTGACCGTCTGTTCTGGCCGAGCTTCTCGCAAAGGTATGTCGAGAGTGGATCCCCTCGGTTCGGGATGAGGAGCCGGTTTTTTCGTTTCCCGCGGATCCTCCAGGGGCGCCTCGGTCCTGGCTCTCTTGCCCAATGATACGGCGGTAAGGTAGCACCGCCTGGATTCTCGGGGGTTTCCCGTGACTTCCCCGACTCCAGCACTGGTTGGGAATTTGATGGTCTGGTAGTAGGTCGAGACGACGGCTCTGACCTTGTTGAGGGTCGGCCGACCGAGTATGGCATTGTAAGCGTTGGGAAGGTCGGCCACCAGGAAAGTGGTCATCACCGTCTTCGACTTTGGAAAGTGGTCATCACCAGGAAAGTAATAGCCCCCAGGGGTGATATTGAATCTCTCGTGAAACCGGTGAGCGCCGAGCACATTGGGCTCAGATTCTCCCTGGCCAAGCCCAGCTTCTGGAAGGCGTCGAAGTAGAGTATGTCGGCCGAGCTCCCCGTGTCGACCATGATCCTCCTCATTTGCGCGTTGGCTACCTTGGCCGATATCACCAAGGCGTCGTCGTGGTCGGGTCGCTCGGCAACTCCGGTTGGGAAGGTAATCTCGGGCTCGGGCTTGTGTCCCGAGGCTTCATCGGGAGCGGCTCAGGCATACGCCTTCCTGCCCGACATGGAGCCTCCTCCTAATGTGGGGCCCCCGGCTATCACATCGATGTGTCGCTCGACGGGGCCCTCTAGGCGAGGCGACTGCTCTTTGTTCGGCCGGAGGTACTGGCCGAGGTGACCTCTGAGGATGAGCTCCTCGATTTGCCTCTTCAGCTCGTAGCACTGCTCAGTGTCGTGCCCGTGCTGCCGATGAAATCGGCAATACCTTGAACGGTCTGCGAGCTCCCGCGGGTTCCTCATTGGGTGAGGGTCCTTGAGCAGCCCCTTCCCCTTCTTGTGTAGGAATATTTCAGTTCGGGATGAATTCAAGGCGGGAAGAGGAGGCCTTGGGTCAGGTCTGTCCATCTTTCGCCGGGAAGCGGCGGGTTGTTGCTGTCGGGGCGGCTCCGACTTGAGCTTTTTGTGCTCCTCCCGCTTTCCAGCCATCCAAGTCTCCGCGGCGATAAACTGACTGGCACGCTGGAGCATCTCGGGGACCGCGGCGGGGGGCCGCTCCACGAGCAACCAGAAGAACCTGGAGGGCCGCAGGCCTGTCATGAATGCCTGCATCAAGAGAGAGGGGTGAGCATCCGACAATCCACGAATTTGTGTCATAAATCGGTTCACAAAATGGGAGAGGGGCTCGTCCTCCTTCTGGTTGAGCTCGAGGAGTAACGCCATGGATGGCTTTGGTCGGGCGTATGCTAGGAAATTAAGCTCGAAATCCTTGGCAAGCTGATCGAAGGAGGCGACGGTCCCTGGCTTCAGGCCGCTGTACCATGTGCGGGCTGGCCCCCGCAGAGTTGTTGGGAACGCCCTGCACATCAGGGCGTCAGAGGTCCCGAATAGCGCCATCTGGGCGCGAAAAGCGGCCACGTGGTCCGCTGGGTCGGTGGTGCCGTCATACGCGTCCAGCAAGGGGAGGCGGAAGTGCGGCGGGATCGCCTGATCTTGTATCTCGGGGGTGAACGGAGATCCTTGGTGTCCGTCCGCCTCGAGCTCTCCCTTTGACTTACGAACTTCCTGTTGTACCTCGTCAAGCCTTTGACTGACGAGGCGCAGCTGAGCTCGTAGGGCATTTGTCGAATCGGCAGTCGGAGCCTCGGGCTCGGGGCGGCTCGCCGTGTCTTCCGCTTCCCGGCTCCCGGGCCGAGTTGTGGGGTTTCGAGGTGAGCCAGGAAGCTCTGGAAGTGGTACGTGGGTCCGGACATGGGTCCCCCGTTGCTGTGAAGGCCGGGTCGCATGCAGAGGGGTCCGCTGGGAGACGATCGGGATGATGGTCTGGACCATGCTTGTCAAGGCTCGGACTTGGTGGGGGAGGTCGTGAAAGGCCTCGGGCGATACTGACGATGGGCCGGCAGGTGCGCCGTTGGGAGGCGACAAGCCTGGGTCGTTGAACAATTGCCAGTAGCGTTCCGACACCGCTGCGGGGCGTTCGTCGCGAGTTTCGTCATGTGGGGGGTGTTCCCCCGGGGTGGGGAGCCCAGCGGTTGAGGGTCCGCCTAGGTGGATTCGCTGATCGCTTGACATTTGGGTGGCCCTCCTGCTAGCGCCAATATGTTACGGTAAGTAACTTTTCGAGCCGTGACCTTCGGGTCGACACGGCTGGTTCAGGGCTCCAAATGGTTGGGATCAGACGTGGCTCCCCTTGGAAT